AAAAAATCTTGGGTAACACTACTGCATTACAGGGAAAAGGTTGTGCAAAAACTGATAAAACATAAATAACGAAAATCGGGTTTTTGAAAGCATTAAATTTTTTGCGCTCATCTACTTTCATTTGCACTCTATCATTAGATGCTATCGTCCTTACATTTAAAATAGCAGGATTTGATAGCTAGTATCTGCACATATTTTTTTATATTTTTATAACTTATGTCTGTTAATATTTATATCTAAAGTTTCGTATACGGTTTTTCATTTCAATAAAAGATTGTTATTCTTAATTCAAATTATATATAGATGCCTACATTTTATCGTATGCAATATTACGTATACATGGTTATTAATTGCGTATACACATACGGAGCTTAAGTGAACCAATAAATTTAAGTATGTATGGTGAAGTCGTACAAAAGTAGACTGGTGTAACACTGATTTTGACAAATTTTTTCTGTTAGTTCTCAAAATGTAGTGAAAGCTGAAGTAAAATTGGTTCACCTGTTCGCAAAATGTTTAGATATTTTATTTTCTTAAAATAATTACACATTATAAATAGAAAGTGTTGCTTTTTTAATAGTCATATTATCGTATACGTTTGGATTTCGGTATGTTAAGCCACCTCAAGGACTAAGGTCCTGATGTAGAGTATGGTCGTAACCGCCCATGCTATTATCGTACTGCTGCTGATCATAACCACCTGATCCCATTGGATATCCCATGGAGTCCTGTGGTGGCGCTGGAGACATCATAGGTGTTGTAGTGCCACTGGGCGGGCCAGCCATTGAATATGGCGAAGCACCTGCAGCCTTCTTGGCTGCGTACAAATTTGCCTCTTCTTGTGCTTTACCTATGTTCTTTTTGTATCGAATGCGTTTATTTCCAAACCAGTTAGAAACTTGCGAAACCTGTAAGATATTATAAATCGTAAATAAATATCATGAAGCGTGCAGCATACTACAAACGCACCGTTATTCCGCACTTCCTCGCCAACTCCTCTTTAGCTTCCTCCGATGGATAGGGATTGCTCAAATGACTGTAGAAGTACTCATTTAAAATTTCGGAAGCTTGTTTACTAAAATTGCGGCGCTTACGCCTAGCGTCGAGGAACCGTGATCGCAGTATCATGACAGCCTCACATGTCGACTGTTTCAACTGCATTTGAATGGAGCTGAATTTCTTATGAATAATTTGAACCATTCGCTCGATTTCTTTAGGTGTAATTGGTCTAAAAACGAATGTTTACGAAACCACAGTTTTGATATTATCTATCGAATATTTTTACCTTGTTCTACTTTGTTCCCGAAGTAAATTCATGACATGTGTAGTGAATTCATTGCACGCCTGTTCATATTTCTCCAACTCCTGATGGTATATCTGGCGAATCTGTGCCAGTTTTGCGCGATAATCTGAATGTTCAATAGCATTGTCTGC